CTTTCTTCATCAAATTTGCTTTTGCACCCTCTTCGTCTTCAGCGATCTTGTCGGGAAGGTGAGCATCATGGAGTGCCAGGTTAATAGAACAAAGTGTTCTTATGTTGAGGGTGAACTTGAGTAGAGGCCCAATGTCCTTAAAACTAAATCTATAAATATATGTACACAGATCTATTTACCGATCTTCGTATATAAATATATTCACATATGTACATACCTGTATTTAGACCTCTATAAATGTCCTCCTAGCTCTTTCCTCTTGTACTTCCCTCTTGTCCCACTATCATGTTCAGCCTTCATTTGGGTTTCAGTAATTCCCCTTGGTTACACTGCCTTCAATCAAGCCCTACCAGGCCTCCTACACCCTCCTCGCCATTGATTTTTTAGATCCCTTGCTGTTCCCATGTACCCGGGTTTGTTAACACCCACTTCGTTTTCCTTACCCCTACCTCTCCTGTGTCCCCTTGGAACCATCAGTCCTGTTGTTTTCTCCTCCGGATTGTTTATCCTGCCTATCTTATCTAGATAGACACACAGAGACAACAATATCCAGAAAAACAAGATAGCAAAACAAAGCAACAAAAGAAAGCAAAACAACAACAGCAAAAACCAACGACTAAAAAAGAAAAGCCTATAAATAGGAGTGTTTTCCAGTTGAGGCTGATGAGGTGCCATGCCCTGGCCCCACAGGCTATTTTTGGTATTCCCTAGGGACTTCCTTGCTCTGCTCCCCTTACTATTCTGTTGCAAACCCTTAGTGTTTTGCCTTGGTGTGGTGGGGTCAGGTAGGGCGCAATTCCCGCACTGTCTCCAGTGTTGTCCACTATAGTGCTATGGGTCAGTGAGGGATGTTATGTCTGCTGGTGGGGCCCGCCCTATGGTCCTACCTGTGCACTGACTGCTCTGAGCAGGAATATTGTCCTCAGGGCTTGATGGGCCAGGAAATGTTCCCCTCTCTCTCCCTCCCCCTTTGTTTGCTCCTGTGTGCTCTGATCAGACATGTCCCTTTCCCTGAGTTGTAGCTTCAGTGCTGTCCTCTGAAGTGAATTCTTCTGGTGGGTGGGGAGAGGAGGCTTTCCATGTAGTTGGGCTTGGGGCAGGCCCTCAGACCTCTCTATTGATTCCTTGCTTCATGCTGGTTTGAGCAAGCCCATCTTTGTGGGAGCAGACACCCGCATATTTTCCTCCTGGAGTGGCTGGTCTGTTTGTACTGCTAACTTTGTATACAACAGTCCAATACTTAAGCCCACAGTACCAGTAGGCTCTTCTGCTGCTAATATCAGTCTTTATTCATTTCTCTAGTTTTGAAAATATTTAACTAGCATAAAGCCAAGCAGTTGTCTCCTTGTGATTTGTATCTCCTTAAACCCATCCAGACTGATGTTAACTCTGCAGAAGGTGCTAATTAGCAGTAAAATCCAATGACATCAGTTCTTATTTAAATATCAAAAAACTAGAGCAGAATGTTTCTGAACAGTCCTTATACTGCCTTCAAGAACACACTGGAAAAAACAAACCCAAAACATAATTGATGGAAATTTATCTTATTTAAAGAATTGGTCACTTTAAGATAATTTATCAAGTTAAAGCAATTTTAAAAATATTAAAGCAGTCAAAATGATAAAATTTCAATTATCCTTCAGTACTAAAATGTCTTTGTTTTTTAACCTTATGATGTAAAATGAAAAACATATTTTATTGTTTTTTATTTATTTGGTTTGGTTTGCTTTTCTCTTCCTTTGTAAAGAAATTACCAATCTACTCAAATACCAAAAACACTTTAATATGTCACGAGTCATTACTACCAAAAGTATTTTCCTATTTTTGTAGACAAAACAAAGGTTTTTCATCATTTTCAATTAAACTCAAAAATATAACCTTCAAAGATATGATAACAAAAGAAACCAATTCTTTTATAATTTTATGAAATAAAATCAACATTTTAAAACTAAACCAAAATTATACTTCTTAAACCAGATGATTCATTATTACATAATTCTATTTTAATAACCTGCTATTTTTCTTCTAGCCAGATGTTTCTAGATGGTTTACTTCCTGAGCCTTTATCTCATTATTGATTGCTATATGGGGAATCATCAGGAACACTGTGAAGGACTGAATAATTTTCCCAAATTTGGTACATGACCATCCTTTTAATTTTCAGATTATTATGTAATGTTTTAAAATGTTTACACACACAAATCTGCATATGGCAAAATGGTCTATTCAAATGACTATGGTGCAATGACCTTAGTTTTATCTTTATCTAAAAAATCCTAAAAGAAAATAAGAAAAGTCTCACTCC